TGGGTCAGACTCGTATGCTCCAGACGCATAGCATGCTCCAGACTTTCTGTGCCATTGATCGAATCTAACGTTCCTTATTAATTCTAATTAAATTAATTATTTATCAACCAATGTAATTACTAACTACACCCCTTAAATAATTAATGTGCACTATAATCCCTCAAATAATTTTACCATTATATTTAGTTTATAATACGTAATTTCTTTTAACCATATTATTTAACACTCACATTTTTTATTGTTCTCCATTAAGATTTGTTTGATTTTTGCTACAATTAAAAGCCAACTCCTATTCGAATGACTATACCTTTTTACCTTCTCTAATTCATTTTTATTTCCATTCATGTGAAGACCCAAATGGGCCATTTATCCTTTCATTCTCCAACCACAAACAATTATATGTTCATGCAAATGAACGACAGTCGAACTCCCCAGAATCGTTACATCCCTCCATTCCATCGTTGCCGCCATTCCATCCCCTTCAATATTGCACTCATACCCCCGTCACCATGGATATATTTGCAGAGCGCGAGATCTGGGGATGCGGCAGAGCATGCCTGCCGCCGGGGGAGGCAGGGAAGAATTTATCGAAAATTTCAGGGACATTTCGGTGGATACTTGTGTGCTTCGTTCATCGTTGTTTCCATGGGGCAACCCACCACCACCGCGAAGCGAAATTGAATTTTTCGCTCAGTTCCCAACGCCGCCTCTTCCATCCTCGCCGCCTCCTCCGCCTCAGACATTTTCCAATCTCCGAGATAATCGATAGCAGAAGTGGATCTTCGAAGCATAATTCAATTCTTGGAAACCGCAAGTCGGTTCCCATCGATACCAGGTCGCCAACGGCCTCCAAATTCAATCGCCAACAACGACTCGATCCGCCTCTGTTGCTTCTGGTGTCGGAGAAGATGACGGTTCTGGGCGCCATGGATGCTGCAAGCGAAGATCTGGAGTCGGAATTAGGGGTTTCTAGCAATTGATTTGTCGATCTTGCCCAGCCGCTCTGTCACATCATCGGAGAGGATTGCCATCACCGAAAAATTACCTAGCATGATAACCCGGCCGGCGATAGTCAATACAGTTTTTATTCCAAGATTTCACAAAGAAAGCAAAGATAGAATCATCCGAATGCATTGTAGGCGATAAATTCTAGGTTTAAAGTTTCCCTAAGGGAGCTTTTCTTGAGAATTCTGGGTTGATGATAGAAAAATTGAGGACGCATTCAACCAATTTCCAATGAAGAATGAATAACCTGACATCAATACAAATTTTGGGTGTTTCGAATGATGATTGAAAAAATAAGGTATTATAATACAAAAATAATGAAAAACATCGTTGGAGGACTATATTGCATATTTTAAAAAACAATCAGTGTTGTTGGTAATTAATATTGTTAATCAATAATTAATTTGATTAGAATTAATAGTGAACGTTAGATTAGATCAACGGTGCAAAGGCTTGGAGCATGGTATACGTCTAGAGCATACAAGTCGTATCCTATATTATATAACTATATATATAACTATATATATATATATCTTACTAAAAGTTACAGGGTCTTGTTGTTCGGTCAGCGATATGGGTTCATGAGCGAAGCGCTCGATTAGGGGACTCGGAGCACACTGTTGCCCCCGATGGAGATTAGGTTTGGTCTTGTCTCTAAATAATCGTTATCTACCTAACAAGTTGTGGTTTGGATTAAACAACTAACTAAACAAAGCATAAACAAGATTGAATCGTTTTCAATTAAAAGAAGGTCGGTCACTCAGTGGTGCTTCTCTGTAGCCCTTAATTAGGACAACGTTAATTTCCCTAGCTTGCCCACTCTAGATTTATACACCAGAGAGCTCTAAACTAGCTTGGACACCCTATTAGAGTTATCTAAGTCCGCTTAAATGAACTACCCGAAAGGGGGGTTTACAATTCGGCAAATAGTACACCTAAATCGTGCAATTTGGCTGCCGCTAAAGGATCTCGATCCAATACGACATTATAGATGAATATCATTCTCGTTCAGTTGACCGTTAATGAAGCATTGGAGATGCTCTAATCAACCCATAGGCTAATTGGATATATATATATATATATATATATATATATATATGGGGAGTTCTACGGTACCCCGGGTGAAATCCAGAGTACCGCATACCTTAAGTAAGAAAACGCTTTCTAGAACTTGAATTGACCGATCTTTCGGACATTATACTATACTCTAACCCATAAAGATCAAAATCTAGGTCTTAATTCTCTAAATCTTATACCCCAAGATCAATTTAATTAGAAACAATAATCGACGGTTGTGATTCGTCCAAATATAGGCAAAATAAGTAATGCACCATCTTAGGGTTTATAGTTTATGATTTAGATAATTAGGATCTAGGATTCACTCATTAAGGGTTATGGTATAGTATCATGCCCAAAAATCCTGCTAATTCGAGGTCTAGATAGCGTTTTCATACTCAAGGTATGCGGTACCCCGGATTTCACCCGGGGTACCATAGAAGGCACCATATATATATATATATATATATATATATATATATATATATATATATATATATATATATATATATATCTTACTGAAAGTTACGGGGTCTTGTTGTTCGGTCAGCGATATGGGTTCATGAACGAAGCGCTCGATTAGGGGACTCGGAGCACACTGTTGCCCCCGATGGAGATTAGGTTTGGTCTTGTCTCTAAATAATCGTTATCTACCTAACAAGTTGTGGTTTGGATTAAACAACTAACTAAACAAAGCATAAACAAGATTGAATCGTATTCAATTAAAAGAAGGTCGGTCACTCAGTGGTGCTTCTCTGTAGCCCTTAATTAGGACAACATTAATTTCCCTAGCTTGCCCACTCTAGATTTATACATCAGAGAGATCTAAACTAGCTTGGACGCCCTATTAGAGTTATCTACGTCCGCTTAAATGAACTACCCGAAAGGGGGTTTACAATTCGGCAATTTGGCTGCCGCTAAAGGATCTCGATCCAATACGACATTATAGATGAATATCATTCTCATTCAGTTGACCGTTAATGAAGCATTGGAGATGCTCTAATCGACCTAATTGGATATTATCTACCTTAGGCCAATAGCTCAAATAGAAGAGTGTGATCGATCAATACCCTACCAAATTCAGGAATACACCCCAATTCAATATATAATCAAGAGTGTAACAAGCATAGGAATTATTCAACATCAAATCCTAACATGCATGGCTAGAAATCTACACCCAAATGAGAATGGAGTCTAGCCCATAGTGAGAGAAAAAAAATCAAATCCCAAGCTCGAGAAGAGAAATCATCTTGTGGGAATGAGTTCTTCTTCTTGAGCTCCAATCTACGCTTCTTTGATGATGAACATTTCCTCCAAATGAAGTGGGAAGCCTTCAATCACTACTTAGGGTTTCTTGTTCGTCACTTTTTCTCTCTAGAAGGCTACAACTCTCACTTCTCTCTCAAATTCGTCCCTCCCAAAAATTGGCATCAGATCTGATTATATAATCAGCAATGAGCAAGTCATGGTTGCACTTTAGTGGATGTCACGGTCTGGGCGTGACATTTGTGCTCTGAACCTTGACATCTCCATCTTCTTGCTTTTCTCCCGATTTTGACTACAAATTGTCCGACAATCGTTCCTTTCGCCATATTCACCTACTAGGATCTGAATAATACTAAATCAAGCACAACTTAACTTAAGACAGGCTTAAGAATGACAAATATCAAGCCAAAAAACAAAGGATAGAGTGAATAAACATGTATACTTAAGCTCGAATCAAACTCACCACACTTAACCATTTGCTTATCCCCAATCAAACCTATCTAAAACCAATACAACTTACTAGACTCCACAATCGTCTGCAATCAAGATCATCGTTAGCGGGTCAATTAGCAACTTAAGAGGTCAACCTAAGACAAGAAGTATTCTAACCACGTCGATGAGAAGCACATCTCAAATTAGAACCTTGTCGACTAGTGGAGCTAAGACAATTGTCTTATGTATGATGGGACGCTAAAAACTGTTTGAAACCATGAACTCGTATGGTCGTGCTCCTACTTCAAAGGGCTCAAACTTTTGAGCCTCAACTAAACTTTATCAGTCATGGCATCTGATGCATTCGTACGACTGGGTCGCATGGGTGCATTTATGTTTTATTATTATTGCATTTATTTGGATATTGCTCGGTGTATTTTGGTTATTTCGGATTATTATTATTCCGTTTAAGAAGTAAATATTTTATGATTCAGAATTGGTTTGGGTTACCTTGTTTAAGGGGGAAAGGGTTTATAGGTTGTCTCCTATAAATATGTACTTTAACCCTACGTTTAATCGATCAAAAAGAATAAACCCATTATTTTCAGTTTTCTTTATTTTTAGTTGCTTAAAGTTCCCGGCACGCGAGGCTGTCAGGCATCAGCATCACACTTGCAGTTTCGCAAAAACAAGGCCTCTATATCGTGGCTATAGCGGAAGGGGTGTAACACAAGGAATTCCCTTGTTATGTATATAACTAAATTCAATAATTGTTAATGAGTTCCTACTTCCCTAAATATTTTGCTTATTTTGGTAAAGGGTAATTGTAAGTTTGGTCACTGAGTTTACTAAAAAGTGTCATGTTTAGTCACTTGAAATATTTAATTTCAATGTTGGTCACTCGAATTAGTAAAATAGTCGACGTTTAGTCACTGTCTATTAGTCTCTATCAGTCTCCATTAACACCGCTAGTCAATTGCTGACGTGGCTAACGGAAGTGCTGACTCACCCAAATTTAACCAGCCACATCACCAAACCCGACCCGCCACGTCACTCAACCGAAAACCCCAGTTTCCCCAACTCAACCCAACCTATAAAGCAACCTTCCAAACCCGTGATCAGATCCTTCAGTACGGCCAAAATTATCTGTCAGAAGTCCTTCCCGGTGGTCTCATCCCACAACCCTAATCTTGATAACACCTCCTTAAGCAGCTCTTCGCTCGTTATGAACCCGTCGCCGTTTATGTCGAACACTTTGATCGCCTCCTCCAAATCCTTCTCCACCACCGCCCTAGACTCCTCGTCGCCTTCGTCGTCCTCGATGGAGCGGTAGAAGGTGAGGAACTCGTCGAAGTCGAGGGTGGGCTTGCCGACGGAGGACTCGAGCTCGTCGCTGGTGAAGCGAAAGGAAGATCTGATTTGGTCGAGGAGCTAGCTAATCTCGTCGATGGTGAGGAGGCCATCGTCGTTCCGGTCAAGCAGGTGGAATATCCGGGAACGGATCAGGTCAGTAACCTTATGGTGAGTAACCATGAGTAACTTGTCTACATCAGCATGACATCAGCATCCCTCTCTCTCCTAGAAAGCATTTAATTTTCCCTTCCTTAATTCTCACTCGTTTTAAGTCAAAATTTAATTTTTTTTTTGCACAGTTAGATCAGATTAATTGTGTTTTTCAAAATGATATCCAGTTTGATATATTTTTCGAACAAAAAAAATTGAGCCATTTTTTACCAGTCTATACCATAATGGTATTGACTGGTATTGAAATAAGAGCATACCTATGGTTTGAAAAGCGTATCATGGTGGTATGAATAAACCAAGACTGTAGGATGGTTGAATACATAATAGTAGAAGTATATTAACTGTCATTTACGACTTTTAACATTGTGTACCATAAGATACCACCTCGTACCAGGGTGGTATTGTGTGGTATTTTTTGGTCCTGTAATTTGTTCACCCAGAAATTTGTAGATCCAATAGATCATAATGAACTCGTTCCTTCTGTGCAAACGTTTTCAAAAATGAATTAAAAATGAAGAAGATAGCATATGGTATGCAGTTGGTACCAAGAGACAAGAAAAAAAATTCTAAAAAAAATATTGAAAATGGATCTCATTTTGTAGAGCACAACGAACTCGTTCCATCTGTTCTAACAAAATTAAAATCCGAGTTAAAACGAAGAAGATATGAGTCGATTAAGAAAGATAGGAAAAATAAAAATGGCATTTAATTCTCCATCTTTAGATCTAGATTTTATAAATGAAGGGTCCAGATTTAGTTATTGATACGTGCATAACCATGGGTATGCACCCTATTTTGAGCCGGAATATCCGGCGCATGTCGCTGGCGTGGAGCCCCGAGGTCATGATTAGATCGCGGTGGAAGTGGTTGGTGGGAAGGTTGTTGTGATTGGGGTGTAATTATGAGAAAAGTGTGGAGGGAGAAAGAAAGTATAATAATTTAGGCGATTTTTGACAAAATTGCGGAGAGGTTGGTGGACTTTGATTGTTCGTTCTCGAAAAGATTCATCTCCAATATGGTTGTCACACTAGTGGCATGTCGCCCGGTTGAATCTGGTTCAACCGATGCTGGTCATAAAACCGGTATAATAACTACCGGTATGATTGAGTTACGAGTTACGAACCATAAGTAAAACGATGTCGTTTTACTAAATTTGATTGATAAAAAGTGAGTTTATTATATGTTTGATGAATATAAAAGTTAAAAGTTAATGTTTGTTGGATTCAGGTATATACAATTATATATTAATATTAAATGTTGTATTTAAATTTGAGTATTTTATATTTTATATGAATTTTGTATTTTATTAAACTGGTATGAACTGGCGCAAACCGGTTGTACCACTAGTCATACCATTCCATTTGCTAAATCAGCGCAACGGTATAAACCGGTTTGACAACCTTATCTCCAATCTAACAAGCTACGAAAGACTAGGGAGTCGAGCGAGAGTAACTTGCGGAGTTTGTTTAATTCCAATAGCTTGCAGCAGCGACGATACTTAGAGGTTTCCGTCGCCTATTTCTGGGTTGATGGGTTCGTGGTCATGAATCGTACTTAGGCTTCTGTGGCTGGTTTCTGGGTTCCCGTGGACGCTGTTTCTTCTTCTTCCTAAGTCGGATGTGTCCATTTCTTTCATCGGATTCTGGCCGGTGCTTTCAGGGTCGTGAATCTGACGGGGATTCCGTCATCGGTTTTTGGGTTCCCAACAAGCGGCAGAGATTCCAATGCATAAACCTACTTTCAAACCGGTATAAAGGGATAAACGAGTTTGACAATCTTGATTAATAGCACTCGACCCACAGGGCTTGCTATGTACTTCAGTAACGTGGATTAATTCCAACTCAGTCCCAACGAAATACCCAAAATGGGGACACCAGTCCAGGTTCGATGGCTCATCTCTGCAGGCTTTTACAGCCATCAAAATGCAGTGCAGCCACTTCTTCTAACTAGAAGCTTAATTCAGTAAATTAAGCATACAATATGAACAAAATTTACTTCCGACCCAAGACTGCCCACGGCTCATCCTACTACCTATCTCTCTTGCCTTTCCTGATGCTCAAAATCTGTACAAAACTCTTCCTTTCTTCATACCTTCACGGGGCCATTGCAACTATTACCTTCCTGCTTTGCTAGAGCTTGGTTGCATCTTCTCCAGGAGCCTCGCCTTATCTAGCAATTCTTGTATGGTGTTGGATGCATCCTACAGCAAAATCAAAATAGCTCATTATTTGCCTGCCACTCTTGTTAGCTCGCCTAAACCGATCCATATAAGGGGGGCCCTAGGGAGGAATAAAAAAAACCTTCAACTTCTTTCTCAAATTATCCTCTTCCTTGTCCCTCCGCTCCTTCTCCTCCGAGAATATGTCAATTAGACTTTCCTGCTCCTTGTTCAGGTCTTCTACCTTCTGTTGTGCTTGATCCAACTGAAAGTACGAGGTAAAGAGATAATTAGCCGTTCACTTAAAACCTGTGTTAGCTACCATCCTCAACATGCATCACCAGAGAAAGAGTAACCTTCAACTATGCATACCTGTATCTTTAGAGCACTGCATTTCTGGCACTTCAAACTCATCAATCGAAGTTCTGCCTCCCTCTTCTCTAATCTACAGTAGAATCATGGACAGTCCAGATGGAAATTACTACCTACAAACAGAAAAAACACACACACAGAACCAAGCTCCAGCATCAGAATGCTAACCTTTCCTTCAGCACACGGTTCTCTTGCTTTAGCCTGTCACTCGTATCTGTGTTGACTGCTGAAACATGGCCATCCTCACCGAGATTAACAACATCTGCCTGCCAATGGAGTCGAGAGCTAATATTATCTTCTAGCAAAATATAAATTGGGAAAAGAGACTACAAAATAAATTGGATATTGAGATAGCCAAACAAAGAAATCTGAGTATCGACCTCTGCGGACATAAAGAAGCACCGACAGCTTTGCTTCTTTACAAGCCAAAGAAACCAATAGCTTCTAATATAAACAACCATACCCTAGTCTAGTTACATGACATCATAACGGAGGAATAAATAACCTTTGACTGGGTACGTATGACTGGTGGAACACATTCCCCAGATGGGCTGGAGTCATTATGAATTCTGCTATGTCCCAAATGTGCAGATGGCCGATTTCCATCCAACACATCTGTCGGTAAAGTTTTACTTGCAGGAGCGCTGGAAGTTGCTTTTTTCAGAGGGGAAGAACTGCGGAAGTTACTTTCATTTGCATCCTCAGAAGGAGATGATGGTTCAGAAGATTCAAATCCTTTTCTATATTTAACTGGAGACTTTGTGATACTGTTGTTTCCTTTCCTTGAAACATTTTGCTTTCCATATCGCACTTTCCCCGGTCTTTCTGTTGGTGCTTTTCCTCCAGAACTTTGATCGTGTGAAAAAATTGTTTCTGGCCATGAAGAAGTTTGTTTTAGCATTAACACGCAGTAATACATGTGGTCTGGAGCTGAAGAAGAGATTCCAACTCCAAAAAGATGCTAAAACAAACGGGTTGGGGTTAATGAAGGTCACAACTCACAACTCACAAGACTACATTACAGGGATCCAAATGGTTTTTTCTATTCACACAAAAAGTACGCAGAAAAATCTTAATGAAGTCTTCGTAATTACCTCTCTCTTCACCTAAGCCTTTCTTGTTACGTCTGGGAGCATAGCCAATTTTGTGACAGTTTGAACACCTAAAGCAACAACCCAAAAGGGTTTTGTCACAGCCACTCTTTCCAAAGAGCAAAATGTTAAATAAACAGTATCATAATTAAGAGATAAGTCACCAACCAGTAATTCTTTTGCATTTGTATTAGACGAGTCTCGAGCCGTGACAGAACAGTTGTACGTTCAAAACCTTGCTTATCATGGGCAGGTTCAACAAAATTGGCTTCCAGAACACCTATAAGCAAGACATGAAACCAAGTCAACGATCTCCCAGCTAAACTACCTACCAAAAGGGGGAAAAGAACACAAACAAAAGCAACATGTAGTTTTATGCAGTTAAAACCACCTGCACTTGCCAAAGAAACTTTAGGCAAGTAGTCTTACCAATAACTCCACGTCCATCACTTCCCGCAGCATTCCACAGCCTCCAAAATGGCTGAGTACAACAGGACAGTTCAAGGAATCACAAAAGGAGGGAAAAGAGACAGAGCGTACTGAGAGAAGCTAGCAACAAAGCTTTAAAGAACCTATCAGATCCACATATAGTTCAATAATACGACGCCTTACAGCAAAATCTTAGTCATTTCTCTAGATCTCAGTAAAGAAAAATACAAGTTGAAGATTTACAATTTTCTCCTTAAGGTAGGAAATCAAGTAGCATCTCCATATGCTTAGCCACAGGATGGGAAAAAATGAAGTATTCTCATACCACTCATGTAATGGCAAACTAACCTTGATAAGTCGATTCTTGTGATAGACATTGAACCCTTGAACATCAATATGATACTTGGCATCCTTGACAAATCCCACTGTAACAGCAGCGGTCATCTGGCGAAATCGTAATGAAAAATCAGCAAGTGGATTACCAAAATCAGAACTTTTAAGATACGACAGATGATATATTACACTACTATGATCCTTGGATGTCCCGTCAACAGGAGCCTGTGGCCGATATATCACATCCTGGGACATCATCATGTCATTTACTATATTGTGGTGCTCAACATCTTTTCCACGAAGGATGATCCGAAAGGCAGGAGGAATTCTGAGATAGAGAATTGAAGCATAACTCTGGCAATGAAATCGGAAAAATTGTAGACATAAACATGTGAAAATGTCAATTGATGGTACACTTCAATCACTGGTAGCGGCATCAAACAGATTAATACCCGTAACGAATGCTTGTATGTCAGAAAATGGCGCGAGTTGGGGAACTCTTTGGCCATTTGGATGTTTTTTTCCTCTCGATTTACCCCTCTAAGTTGTATGTCCTGCCAGAATAAGGAGAACAAAAATCAATCAGAGAAGCAAATAAATTTTGTGGTTAGCTTTACTCCATTGGGCCAACAAAAGAAAAGAGGTGCACATGAAAACATACATGAGGATCAGCATCAAAATCAAGCTCCAAGAATCCTTCATCATCCTCCCAGAGATTGTAGATTATTATGCGCGTCCCATGATCTGACAACATATCTAACTATAGAAATACAAAACATAGAAATAAACAAAAGATTGTCATTATAATATAACCAGGTAAACAAAAAATCCCATTTCAGAATGTTCAAATGTGGATAAGAAACAACCATAAATCAACGCCACAAGCTATGTGAACAGTAACAGTCAAAAGTAATATTGATTCACCACCAATTTAAGTAATAACTTTGTTAATAACAAGCTATGTATGCAAGCTCATAGACTACGTGAAAACCCATCATATAAGATGAAGATTTGACCCTCTTTTTAAAAAAAATCCTTCAACTTTCAGATAATCACCTTTCATAACCACTTGATGGAACAACTAAAAATTAGAATGTTAGGCATACCCTTGTCCGAGTATCAATCAGACTAATAACAACCGAGTCAGAAACAGTCATCCTCACATCACAATAACCAATAGTACGGCCAACAAATTGAATACTTTCAACCATCTGATAGAGAAGAGCCATCAAGAGAAAATCATTCCTTATGTAAATGTATGATAAAAGTTTCAAAGGAAATCACCTCCCGTAGAAGATCCGTCTCGCTAAGAAACGGGGACCACTGAAGAATTGTTTCCACATTCCTAGTCCAGTCAACATCAGAAAGTCGAGCAATTCGGCTCCACCCTTGTCCTTCTCTTTCATAGTCAAGCTTTCCATTTGAATTTTTATGACACCAAACGTTAATACTGGATCACATCAATGTTATACCCACTTATAAAATTTTGAGGCATCCACTTCAGGAAGCAAGAACCAGGAAGCAAACTCAAAACAACCAAGGACCAGAGACTCATAAGAAGCAGAATTGGATTGTGCAACATGTAAGCCTACCAGACATCACATCTTACCATTCAACTATTACATTAGTTCAGGTGCATTCCTAAGCAATATTACTTACCCTAAGAGATATACACTCGAGGTAAGGATTTGCAGACATTTAACACAGCTTCATTGTGAAACTTCATAGAGCTCTTTACAAAAGTAGCGATTTGCTAAATATAAGAATACCTATACGAACATAATCATAACTAGTTAGTTTGAGTATGTACCGTTGGAACTACTATAACAACATGTAAGCCTGCCAGATATCACATGTTACCATTCAACTAATACATTAGCTCAGGTGCATTCCTACGCAATATTATTTACCCCAAGAGGATATACACTCGAGGTAAAGATTTTCAGACATTTAACACAGTACATAGAGCTCTTTACAAAAGATATTGATTTCTAAATATAAGAATACTATTATGAACATAATCAGAAATAGTTAGTTTGAGTATGTACCATTGGAACTACTATGTCCTCTTTTCCTGTATTCCTCAGGAATGTGTATGATAGCAAACCAATGCTCTGGGTTGGCCTGCAACCAGAGGAGAGATACTGATATTATATGAAAACAGCACACACAAAAAGGAAACAATGATCAAGGATTCAACTTCTATAAAAAAAAAACCATCACATGGACAACGAATGCAAAATCAAGTAAAGACATCAAACTAAAACAGTGCCAGCAATTAGCATTACAGCATTTCATGATGTGAAATCTGCAATCTGTGAACCTAGTGTACTGTTATAGTTGGAGAAAAAAGCAGATTAGGTATTTTGGTTCTCCAATTACAGCCATGACTGAATTGCAACGTTACTTGACAAACCAATAAACAATTTTTAGAACTAAAATCAGTACTATCCCATTCCAGTGTGTTATAAGAATGTATTTGTAAGACAAGATTCGTTATTTGGTATTTAACAACAGCTGGCAATGCTATCACTGTATCCCACCTGCCAACTGCCAAGCATTACTATTTACCAAATCAAAAACCAATATACAGAAGCAAAGAACTACTAATGCACAGTAGTGGATAAGGAAGTTGGTACAAAACCTTTTGCCATTTTGTCCACAACAACGAGAAAACACAATAACATCAGCACCAAGCCTCATGGTACTTGTCTTGAAACCATTGCCATCTGATATGAAAAATGGAACAGAATTACTCGTTCCTTATTCACAGCAAAACAATGCAGTATATTTCAACTTAAAATGAAGCTTTTTATAGAACCAAATAACTGAAAAGCTTTAGCGATGTACAGTAAGTTACACTGGCCAATGGCGTTATCCACTTTGCTTTTAGCAGAATAACCTAAGGACATGCACCTCCGCATTTTATCTGGATCCATCCCACCACCGTCATCTGCAAACAAAAATTAATGTAGAAAAATAGTACAAGATATATCAATGAAACGGGAAGATCCAACAATATGTCTTGAGAATTAAAAAGGCGATAGTAATAATTCTAACAAAGGACTGACGAAAGTTCTGGCATTCCAGGAGTCCAACAGAAATAAATGATGAGTAATTTCTATGGTGGGCAGCAAATATTACTGTCACGAAGCTAATTCCTAAAACAGGGTTGCAGTCTTCGAACTCGCATCAGACCCATGGTATATATTATCCAAGAACAGACTGCAAGCTTCCTTGTCTTTCTTTCTATTTCAAGGTTAACGCAAAAAATGTGTATGGACCTGCTAAAAGATAAGTAGCGAGACGTAAGAAAAATACAAGTACCCTCAATCAGTAGCATTCTGCTCCCATCTTTCCCGCTTTTCATCATGTCTACCTTCACTAGCGTTGCTCCATTGCAGACCTGAGCTCCAAGAACAGAAGTCACTATAAGAGCAAAGAAAATCGCAAGAGATACATGACATAGAAAGCATCCTGCAACATTACCTCATCCAATGCATTGTCCATCAGTTCTGCAAAGGCTGCATAGTTGCCAAGAAAATCCAAGCAGATCAAGAAAACCAGACTCTTAATAGTCCTGTTACTAAATTGCATAAGCTGCAATTATACTGCAGCTACCAGAGTTTACCTACCTCCAAGAGCCCATTTGTGGCTGGTTGCATTGGAATGTAAGAACTTTGGATGAACCCTGACATGATCCATGCCACCTAAACATGTGAAGAAAAAAGCGACATCAATAATCAGCTCAATACACGGGAGCTAAACGCATTGACAGACGAGAGAGCAGTCGGGGCAAACAATATTCACCTCTGAACTTGAAGCAAAATTGTGCCTAGGCAACATATATAACTTAAAAGCAAAAGTTGGTTTAATCAAAGCCGGAAAGAACAATGAACCCACGAAAAGAAACAAGTAAAACCATCCGGTGTTACAAAACAAGCAAAAAAAGAAAGAAAAAATTACCAGAAGGGACATCCCAAGCAGCAACGGAATCGCCCTCGTAATCACCGGCTTTCCAAAACTGCTTACAGTTATGACCATTAACCATCACACTCCCGTTTTCTCTCGACTCGACGGGGCGAACGACGGTCAAAGCCTGGGAAGCTACATCGGCCCCCGGCGGAAGCGGAGCCAAGAGGTTGTCCGGCTTAGTGACCCCCAACCCGTTCAACTTCCTCCTTTTGTGCTCCGATCCTCCTAACCCTCCGTCGGCATTGTGGCGGCCACCGGCGGAAGCCTCTTCGGCGTCGGAGTCCGAGTCGCTGCTGCTGAGCACGATCACATCAGGTGGTGGAAACCTCGCAACTCCGGTTGTGAGTCGATTCGGTCCGAGCCCGCTGTTGGGGGTTTCTAGGATCTCTTGCTTCACCTGAACCTCCATACGAAATCTTTAGCAAACAAGAAATTGCGAAGAAAGAAATAGGGAAGAGGAGAGCAGGATTTAGGAATAGAGTTGCTGTTGCTGTTGCTGTTGCTGTTGCATGTGAAAGAAAATAACAAAACTTGCTGGAGGGGAGGGGAGGGGAGGAGAGGAGAAGTCAGAGAGAGGCAGGGGTTGGATGCACTATTGTCCGTCACACCAAGTTACTTTACGCTGAGGTCAAACCGACCCGTTCGATCAGCCAGCGGATAGAACTGTAGGGGTGGCAGCCGGTCGGTTTCGGTTTAACCGAAAATCAAAAATTCGGTTATCGGTTAAACCGAGACATCCCACACGGCTGCCGACCACCGATCGTGAGAGTGTCATGGCTAACCGACCACCGACCGGTCGTTTATTGGCTTTTGGTTCGGTTAGCCGTAGTAACCGGACTTATGCCTGTCGCCAACAATAAATGGCACGTCCAAAATGCGTTTTTCCTTCCAAAATTAACTACGGTGGTGGGATTTGGAAAGTAATTAATTTAAAATTAATTAATTACAAAATTATTAATGATAGTTGCAATTTACGAAAATCATTAAAGAGAAATTCTTAGGTTCATATATGGTTACAGCCTGTTTGGATACAATTCCGGAAGAAATGGAAATGGAAATAGAATTCAATTTTTTTATTTTTATAGAATTCCATTTCCAATTCTAGTGTTTGGTATAATTCCTACAACTATGGAAATGAATTGCACTTTTAACCATAATGAATAATGTAATATGTTTGTTTTATTTTGGGAAATGAAATATGACAGCCTGTTTGGATACAATTCCATAAGAAATGGAAATGGATTTCCATTCCCAATTCTAACTTTTATGGAATTCCATTTCCAATATTTGTGTTTGGCATAATTCCAACAACTATGGAAATGAATTGTATTCTTTAACAATCATTAATGATTTAGTAGATTTTTTTATCTTAGGAAATGAAATATGGATGAGAGAGAAAGAGAGAAATAAGATAGTGGAATTATAAAATAATAATAAATATGAATGGGTCCCACTAATTCCATCTCCATAAACCCAATTCCTATCACTTTTGATAGGAATTCTAATTTCCAATATTTTAGTCAAATGGAATTCATTTCCCAACCTTCTTACCATTTCAAACATGAAATAATGAAATAGAATTGGAAATGGAATTTCAATTCCTGAGTTTTTTGTCCATCCAAACAGGCTGTGAATGAGAGAGAAAGAGAGTAAAATGATAGTGGGTCAACAAAATAATAAAAAGTATTGATGGGTCCCACTAATTCCATCTTCATTCTCTCAATTCCTATCACTTTTGATAGGAATTGTAATTCCCATATTTTAGACCCATTGGAATTCAATTCTCAACCTTTTTATTATTCCAAACATAATATATGGAAATGGAATCGGAAATGGAATTCCAATTCCTTACTTTTTTGTCAATCCAAACAGGCTGTTAGGGACGTTGAGAAGGGAAAGGAAAAAATCAGATCCCCTTTTCTCTCTCTCTCTTTCCTCAATCAATTTCCCACATGGGCCACATCCCAATCAATTCCCCTTCTTCTCTCTCTCGTTCTTCTCTCTTCCAAATATCCCCCCAAAATCAATTCCCCTTCTTCTCTCACCCAAAAATTCTTCCCAATTGTTCTTCTTCCTCTCCTCTCACTCGATCTGCCTCTCTCTTTCTCTCGTGGCCTCGATCAGTTCGCTGGCGGCGGGGACGGTGGCCGGCCCGATCAAGCAGCAGGAGTCAGGGAGCTGACTCGCTAAAACACAACTCCTAACAATGGCCAAGTGTAACCAATGAAAGGGACTGCAGTATAGTGGCTCAAGTAATAAATATCGAATCCACGGGTCTCTAGAGTTACTATTACTCAGCTTCATTTCATTATCTAGCAAAACATATTAAGATGAAAGAACCAAAGCTACTCTAGCAAACTACAGTTAAAGTTAATCTAATTACAGGTTGGGAACTCACTTAGGTATGATTCCCCCTAGCCACTAGCCAGATTAACGATTGATGATCTCTAACTTGTTTCACTTTCATTCACAATGCGGAGAATCCTTGACTAGACCTTGAGTCTCGACTAAAGGAACAAGTCCCTCTTGAGTCAATTGCCTAGAGGGACGTATCCTTCTCTAGAACAATCGATCAAGGCGTTCTGAACTAGACTCCCTCTATCGAATGAGGTTCTCAATCGATACAAAGCAGTGAATCAACCCTCGACTAAAGCAATCGATCCACTACTATCAATCTATGGTGCTCTATTGACCTAATCAGGTATTCGCTCTCATAGGATCAAAGCAGAATCAATAATCTCGACTAAAGCAGAATTGAATCGTGAAAACATGCATAGATTGAATATGAACTCAAGATTATCAAGTCAGAGTACTCATACAATCATCCAATCAAACAAACATAGCTAGGGTTCCTCAAAACCTAAGTGAAGGGAAGTTACTCCATAGAGAAGAGAGAGACTGCAGTAAGAATCTTCAGATGATCAGTCTTCAAGTCCGGGCTTATTCCTCGAGCTTCCAAGGCGAAGAAATCCTCCAATTCCACTCTTAGAATGCCCTCAAATCGCCCTCTCTTTCTAGGGTTCGTCCCTTGGGTGTTTTCGATCCAAAAACCCAGCTCTCCCTCTGTTTGGTTCGGAATCCGCTTAAAAACCAGAATTTCCCGACTCGCACGGCCAGGGTGCACGGCCGTGCATATCACCATTCTGGCCGTGCACTCCAAAACGCGGCGTACCAACTAGTTCGACCTCAGGCATCTCGCACGGCCAGGATTGCACCTTGCACGGCCGTGCGGATGTCACTTGTGCCCGTGCAAGCTCTCGCACCATCCCGCACGGCCAAACTGGTCACTTGCACGGCCGTGCGGATTTCTCCTCTGCCCGTGCGCGCTCTCGGCAAAAGGCGCACGGCCATATTGCTCCATTGCACGGCCGTGCGACTCCCTGGTCTGGCCGTGCAGCCTCCTTGGAACCTCGTCATGCGTCCGACCTTCGTCCAATCGACCCCAGACTCGCTCCTAAGCCTTCATTCACGTTCTAGGACCTGAAATATCACAACCAAGCACAACCTAGCGTGAAATAGGCCTAAAACACGAGAATCAATACATCAAACGGTGTAAGAACAGGGGTGAAAACATGTGTAAATAACGGTCTATCAAACTCCCCCACACTTAACCGTTTGCTTGTCCCCAAGCAAACCTAACTCAAACCAATGCAACTCTCCAGATCTCTATAGCAACAATCAACCTCGATCGTAGGTAGAGGACTTCCTAGGTCATTTAGCAACTTACGAGGTCAACCGACGCACAAGTCATCTCATAGCTTCTTCGGCGAGAGCACTAGTCTCGAGTCGGCATCATGGCAAATAGTGAACAGAGGACAAATGAATCGTGGATGAAGAGACTCTCAAAAACAAAAGATCATGGACTCACATTTTTCAAGGTGCTCGATTTTCTTTTTGGAGATGGTTGGAACCCCTTTTCTTTCTTCTTTTTGCTTGTTTTTCTGTTTTTCTCTTCTTTTTTTTCAAGGGTTCCAACCTGTTTTTGCAGAAAACGAGGGCTCCCACCTAGCAAAGGTTTTACGGGAGCCCGGCTCTTACCGGCCATGCGAGGAGCAGTTGTCTCGAGCCTCGTGCGGGGGAAAGACATGTAAGGGGGCTGGAGGTAGTAGGTGGAAATTGGGAACGGATTCCCGTCTCCCCTTACACACTTCCGCCCTATTCGCACGGGAGACGTTATTTTAAAGCACATTTCGAGCACCTGTTATTTCCAAAACATGATACAAGAGTCCATGACAGGCAGAGAGTCCACAACACCACACAATTCAAGGGTCCTAAGATCACTAATTCACTCAATCAACCAACACACTATGAAGAAGAAATGAGACTTCTTAAATGCATCAACATCCTCCATAGTGCTACACTACCTCCCTAGGTTGCAAATCACTACAGAGACTGTCAATTCAAAGCATACTGAGCAGGCAATTGCAAGGAACACGTACTTGGAGCCCTCAAATTTAAAAATTTGGACAGTGGACTAGGCTCCAAGCATACAAACAGCTAAACATTCACCCGCATACATAATCGAACATCCCCCCACACTTAAGCACGACATTGTCCTCAATGGAGGAAAGATAAGGAGGGTAGAACGAAGTTACCAGATCAAGGATGAATGATGATGTACGGGTCAGGCGGTGCATTCCAGGAAGAGAGAGTAATCAGAACACAAACACCACACAAAATCTCACAAAGGTTGAGTTATTGACTCTAAAATCAAATAACAAAACTGACTCAACCGAGGATAAATAGAGAAAGAAATGCAAACCGACTGGTTGGGTTGCCTCCCAACAAGCGCTTCTTTCACGTCGTGAGCCGGACGATGGCTCCTAAGTTTCGGTCCATGCTAGAACCTCCTTGAAGTTGAGGTTCTCGTCAATGAGGTGGAGTCGCAAGTCACGAGCATGTGGTGTGGCAGGTGATGAACGCTCGTGCACTTGATGCAGATGAAGTCTCCACCCTCGAGACCTCTTCTTCTCTTCTCTCGTCTCATTGCCCCAAACCAGATAAGACAGCATCGATTGGCCACCACCGCGTCCACCAAGAGGGACCGATGTCGAAGTGGCCTTGGTCTGGCAAAGAGACACTGCAAATGGGTCCTTGCCAAGCAGCTCCTCGAAGTTTGGTGGAGATATCACATGTAACTCATGGCCGGTGCAGGCCTCTTCCACCTTAACTCCGTCCTCAGCCTGGACGCCAATTGCTTCTTCAACCTCCCTTTCTTCTTCATGTGGTATCACCCCTGGGAAATGATCAAGAACTTCTCCTGCTTCACTTTCGTCATCCTCCACAACTTCTTGCTGCACCCTTGCTTGCTCTTCTTCTTCTAGCACGGATTGGAGAGCAAGTTGCCAAGCAATTTCTCTCATGAGATCTTCTTGCATCTCCTCACTCATGCCCACCTCTTCAAAGCTCAGTGTGGGGTGCGGGAAGGGGTAGTCGGCTACGATAGGACATTCTTGATCATGATTTTCACGGGAGCTCTCCGTGATAACTTCTGTTTGCTCCACAATGTCCTTGTAGCCTTCTTCTTCTTCCTCCTCCTCTAGTATGGTAGCAGACGGGTGATCTTGAGCAAGCTGTGCACAA